TAAGATGGAGTTTATGAGAAACAATAGGTTTGGTTTGCAAACTAGTATGTCCAACATGTGAAATTTCTAACCTATTTCCATTGCCAACAACTAAATTACCTTTACCCGTAAAATCATATTTGACACTAAGATTTCCCAAATATGAGGTTATATGATCCATTGCTCCACTATTGGCCAGCCAACAAGGATCAACAACAATTTTAGGAGTGGCTATGTAAGCTGAGTTCGACTGCTATTGGAATGACTAGATGAGTTATTGAACGTCTCATCAAACCTTCTGTAGCACACAGCAGCAGAATGACCATATTTGCCACATAGTTGACAGACTGGTTTAGAATTGCTTCCTTTGTAAGGGCTATACCTGCCACGGCCTCTTCCTCTATCACTGTTTCTGGTGTCATTTGAAGAATAATTACCTCTTCCTTGTCCTCCTTTTGATGAATTATGAGCAGATTGTTTGTTTCCAACAGAGTTTTGCTTTGAATATGCATAATTAACAGTAGCATCAGTAGAAGTATCAGTAGGAGAAACTACATCAAGTCTCACCAAAGTGTTTTCAAAAGCAACTAAGGTAGCAAACAACTCTTGCCATGTTGTAGACTTCTTTCCCTCAATTTGACAGACTATTGGGAGATATTCAGCCTCTAGACCTAAAAGCACAGAAGACATTAAGTAACTTAGAGTGACTGGTTCACCAACCAACTTCAAACTTTCAGAAGTCTGTTTCATAAGACCAAGGTATTCAGGAGCCTTTTTTAGTGTTCTGCAGCACATTTCTCAATTAGTTTATGCGAGCCTTGCTTGTTGCTCCATAAAGTTCTTCGAGTGCCTTCCAAACTTCTCTTAAATTCCTAAGATCTACAACATCACAAGCAACCAATGGTCTCATTGAACCAAATAACCAACCAAGCAAAGCTTGATCAACAGCTTGCCACTCCTCATATTGTGGGTTTTGTTGAAGCTTTGAAGTTCCTTCGGTTTCTGTGGGCAGCAGAAATTGTGGTGGTTTTGCAATTGTGCCCAGTACATAACCATCCAATTTCTGTCCCCTCAACACGGCCAGGACCATACCTCCCCACAAAGAATAATTTTTGTCATCCAACTTCACTGTAAAGACAGTTCCCAAAGGAAGACCAAAAGAGGAGTTGAGTTGAGAAGAATTAACAAAAACAGGGGAAGGGTTTGCAGTGATTTGTGGAAGAGAAGAAGAATTTTCTGTTTATTCGGAAGTCATGAGAGCGTGAGCACTTAGAGCTCTGATACCAAGTTCAGAAAACCTTACTCAATCTTTATTGAAGAACAGCAACCAGGATTTTAAAACAAGCCAAGCAAAAAACTGATTACAAAGTGGAGAAGAACAACAACCCACGATGGTCTCAAACCCAAAGAATAAGGAAAAACTAAAAAATAACAATACCCACTACTTTATAAGTATAAAACCGTATTGGTGAAGTTAAGCCTTAATGGAATGACGTCGTTGGCTGTGTACATTTTTCTCTAACTTCTAACCATCCAGACAAACAATTTTATTTTCTACAAATTTGAAATCAACGAAATTTTTCTTCTTTTTTTTTTTCCTAATGAATTTTAAACAATTTCCCTCTTTTAAAATTCTGAAATTTAAAATTATTTTCTTCCAATTCTTGAGGTCAAACAAAGTATTAGTTTAGGTAAGGAAAAATCATCTTCGATATTATCATTGATTGCACGAGCATAGCTAAGTCATGAAAGAGAGTTAGAACAGACTCGTTAGTCTGTAATGTTTTTTTTTCCTTTTAAATTTATTCTCTTTAAAAGGTTTCAATTTAATTTCTAGAAAATGTTAAAATTGGTCAATAAAAAGACTTGAAATTTCTAAAATTTCCTAAAATAAAAACTTTCCCTCTCGTAGCCAAAAATAATATAAAAAATAATAAATATTGCCATATCATCAACTCATCATTACGGTAGTTTTATCTTATTGACAAGTTTGAATCCTATCACTTTCTTTGAAACTAACACAAATAGAAACGTATAAAACTCGAGACGAATAGCTTATTTTATAATATATAATATATATATATATATTCACACACCATTCTGATGTAATCCGGGACATTTTGATCTTTACAAAGATAGTACTTTTCACCATATAACCCACAAAAATGGAGGAATCTGATGGAGTAGAACTGGCAAAGCAAAGATGCAGAGCGGTTATCGACAGAATCGAAAGGCTGCCTTCTTCCACCAACATCACCCTTTCAAGTCGACGAACTCTCCTCAAATTGGCTCTTCGCGAACTCAATTTCCTCTCCCGCTGCTCCTCCTCCACCCCTCTCAGGTTCCGCCATTTTCATTTTCAGTTCCAGTTCCGAATCTTCTGTATCTTCTCTGATATCCATTATGATTTATACACAGCTTGAACATTGGGCACCTCGAGGCCGTTGTTCACATTCTTCAACACCCTTCTGTCACTGGAATTTCACGCGTCTGTAAGCCGATTCCGTTGCACCCTCGTCGCGTTGAGAGTTCTAAGGTTGTTCATGTTGATATAATCTGCATTCTGAATCGGAAACCAGTGTGGGTAATTGTATCGGATCGAAAACCTAGGTATGTTTCTTGGAACGATGGTCGCCATAGAAGTAAGGGCTTGAAATCTCGACTCGAGGAAGTGGTCGATGCGGCTCGATCCTTTCCGGCCTTGGAACCCTGCTTGATCATTTTGTTCTTTGCACATGGACTCGATCACTTTATTCTGCGACGGCTCCAAGATGAATTTAGGGCTGCTGAGTACAGTTTCGATTTCTCGGATTTCGATTTCGGTTTCTCTGAGACTGAGGGGGATTGGGTTAATGTGCTTCCCAGAAGCTATAAAGAAGCCTGTGTTCTTGAGATTAAAGTTCATGATGGGAATTGTGGGGTTAAGAGTTCAAATTGCAACAGTGAAGCTTGTTTTACTGGTGTGGATGAGCCAGAGCTTTTGGAGAGGAATCTGAACAGGGATTTGGGGGATCCTTTCTGCTCCATTATTATGGCAATGAAGCCTAATCCTGTGGGCATGGAAGACATGGAATCTGAAAGTTTGGAAAATTTGTTGGGTGGTGATGAGGATCTAATAAACTTGGATACAACTGCGTTAATTGCATTAGTATCAGGCATCAGTAATGGTTGTGTTGCTAAATTATTGGCTACCCCAGAGAGTGAACTCAGACGGAAGTACAAGAGTAACTATGATTTTGTTATTGGTCAGGTGAATTTTGTTTGGAGATCTTTTTGTAGCCTTTCATCCACTGTTATATTCACAAGTTACCAGGTTCGAGTTTGGAACTGATGAGTATTAGTTTAAAGCAACGAAGTATGTAGAATACAATATCCAACCTGAAAGAATTTTTTCATTTATTGAAATAGTATCTTACTTTCAGTATAATCCTTTCCTTGCTTCTGTATTTTAGTCATTTGTTTTGCTATTTTATGTGTCAGAATTTAATTTTAGAAGGTCTTGACTTTAGTTAAAGTTATTGAGTTATCATGAATTTTCCTTAGTATCTTGCCTTTGGTAGGAGGATGAGGTGGTGGTACCATTTCTTGAACATTTTCTAGTGATACTGCCTTTGGTAAACACTGATGTCTGACCGCTTGATGAGTTATGCTCGGGTTTATCGATTTCTCATAAAATTTGTTGGTTTCTTTGCTAGTGTTAAATGATCTTAACTTGCATCTACTGGTATTATTATCTTTTTGGTTGTAGCCAATGTAATTCTTTCTCTCAATCTTTCGCTAGGTGATGTCAGAAATTCAGAAGCCTATTCTTGTGGAGCTGAGTTCTCTTTTATCTGGAAAAAGAGGTATAATATGCCAAAGTGTTCACTCTGAGTTCAAGGAACTAGTAACAATGTGTGGAGGGCCTAACGAGAAGTCCAGAGCAAACCACTTACTAAAGCACATCATGTGAGTCCATTAAAACAAGGTTTTGTTGTTCTTTAATCTTCTTAGTTTTATGATTGATCCACATTTATTTTGAAACATGTACATATTTTAGATTCATGTCTCTTAGTTTCATAAATCCAGAAAGAAACAATGTTCTGGGTATTTCCTGAATATTATTATATGCTATATGCTATAGATGATTAAGTGTTTTGATGGAGCTTGATGTATTTCGCTCCCAAATTTATTATCTTTGTCCTATATTAATATTACTATTTATGATGCCAACCTAAGTGCCTAACAAATCTCATACTTGTATTTAATTTGTACAACTAGTGTCTGGCACATGTCTATTTTGCTCCGACCAGTTAGTCTATTTTGCTCCGACCAGTTATGTTACCTAAACTAAGTGTTCATGCCTTTTGTCATAGACCAAGTCATAGTCCCTTTACCACGTGTGAACAATTTTGAAACTTATTCAGATGATCGATTTTCTCCCAACTATATACCAAGAGGGCTAGCTAAGTGGCCACTTATTTTATGCAATCGAGATTTTCAGTTATTATTCTACAACTGTTCTGCCCTTGACAACCGCGTGGATCATATCACGGATAGTTTATGTTTTAGATACTGATAGGCATCTGGTGAAGAAAGTATACTCTAGGAAGAGGGGTCGTGTAGCATGATGTAGGAAAGGTAAACTGTTAGAGAGGTGGGACTATTGTATGGTTGAAATGGCAGTGTGAGTATTTTGTAATAGGGTACATACACTCTGGTAGTGGGGTCGAGGGGCATCTTTTTGCCCGTTTTTTCTAGGACTGCTGTTTGGGAGAGATACGAGAGCTCTCTAATTCTCCCTTGGCCCCTTGTAACGATGCTTTCTGAATATCAATAATAGAAAAAGTATTTCTATCATATACATAATACATGTTACTGCACTAATAGGCCTGAAAAATGGAACAGGGTTGTGCCAGACAGGGCATCGAAACGTATGACGTGTCTCCCGACCACAAGAAAGTTGGCTTTGAAGAACAAGGTCGTGTTCGGTACTGGTGACTACTGGAATGCCCCAACCTTGAGTGCAAACATGTCATTTGTTCGAGCAGTATCACAGACTGGGATGTCACTTTTTACCTACGAGCACAGGCCGCGAGCCTTAACTGGTGATTAGTTTATACACTTTTATTTAAAATGTGATCTCTTTGTTCATGCAAAATATAGAGATTGCCGATAGTGATTGTAATTGTTGGGGCATATTGTAAAGTTGTTTAAAGAATATCCTAAGCGAGAAATTATTTGAAACAGCTCCATATAAAGTAGTTTCCTCTCTTATAATCATTATATGATGATGTATAGTTAAAAGATTATTTCCAATTGAAATAATTAGTGTTTAAAAATATTTAGTGTTTCTTATTAATAATTTAATTTGAAAAGTAATTAAATATATAAAAATAAGAGAAAAGTAAATTTTTGGTCCCTGACATTCTTTGTCAGTTAGTAGATTGGCAAATTATTAGGTGGCTTTATTATTCTAATTTATATTTTTAGATGAGGCATAAAAAAATTAGATTTTTATATAATATATTATCCTGAGCAGTATTTTCTTACTTCCTCTTTCTATCTTTGTCCCTCTTCTTCCTTATCCTCCACCTTCTTCCTACCAACCACCGACCACTGTTATTGTCATTGCTGCACTTCGTCGTCTCTCATCATAGAGCATCACCCTCTTCATCGGATCTGGAATGGAGAGGGCGCTCTCTCTCTCCGGTGACGGCTGGCGGTCTCCCTCTCTCTTTCGTTCCAGATTTGGAGTGGAGAGAGAGAGAGCTTCCCCTTTCTTCGACGAAAGCGACGGTAGGCGATAGGCATTGGAGAGAGCTC